TGGAGATTATTTTTAAATTTAAGTATTTTTAACTAGCAAATAACAAGTCGAACCAAGTTTCTTGCAAGTAATAGATGATCACAACTTGAGGGTCACAGAATCTAAGGAACACACAAAACCCATATCTCACCAAAATCAACGTTTAATGTGAACACAAAGTGGAATGATTTGTCCGACAGTTCTCTCTTGACGTGTCCATGTTGCTCCACAAGTGGACAATTTTCTTGCTAGAATTACCAAAAAAAGCATGATAGACAAAAGTCACAAAACACGAGTTTCTTTTTAAAATATTCAAATAAATCTGAAATCCATATGTATCCAAACATGTGGTGCTCATGCACCGAAAAAAGTTAGATCTCCACCCTCCATCTATTTTATTCACATTCCTTTTCTTTTGACGAACCGTAATCAATTCGAAATAGTATTTCAAATATATTATAGTAGGTCAAACAAAGTATATTTTCTTTAACATTCTCTTTAGTGCCATGCTCTTTTGTCGAAATTTTACAAAACTCGTTTTTATCTTTGGTTTATATTCAAGGTAATTTGACCCCAAAAAAAAAAATATTCAAGGTAATTTACGCAAAGCAAATATCAATTTTCTTGGATAACAATTTGGCAATCCCGAAAAACAAACCCTAAAACCCATATTAACATCGGAATCCCCAACAAATCACACATTCACACTTTTTCAACACCATAAGAACAAAAATTACTAAAAATGTAGACAAATTATGACGTCACTTCAAGGAGAGCTAGCAATAGTAGGGTTTTGGTCTCCTCTAGTGTCACTCACTTGATTGTGCTGATGTGGTTGAGGTTTTTGCTCGAGGCTCATTCCGAGACCAACCCTACCACCGCCTCCATAACCTCCCTCTCCGCCGGAAAACAACCCTAAATTGTTACTATCAACAACACCTAACCCTAATTGTTGACCTCCCACGGCTGCTTGTTGCACTAACATAGACCCTAGCTGTACCGACCCCATTGGACCCGGGTAACGACCCGGATTAAACGCCCACATGTGCTGGGATGGATCCTGCAAGGCCGGTCCTCCTCCTCCGACCGGTAACATCCAAAACGCACTACCTCCATTCGTGGAGGTTGGCGTTGGCGCCGCCACTGCCCACGTCGGCGGTATCATATTCTGAGTCCTCGACCGCGCCGAACCCGGATCTTGATCAGATGCTTCGGATCCGGGTTTAGGCGAGCTTGGCCTTTCAGTGTTGTCGTGTTGAAGAGAATTAGGATCTTTGAAGAGATCTTCTTCACGGAATGATTTAGGGAGAGAGTTGGAATCAGTCATGATGTGATGAGGAGTGTAAAGCTGTTGCTGAAACCCGAAAACGGCAGCGTTTTGAGCCTCCCTTCCTGTGAACTTCCTTGACGTCGGATCATCTGAAGATGAAGAATTGTTGTTGTTGTGGGTCCCATCGTAGAGGCTGTGGAAAGAGATCGGAGCTGATTTTGACGGTGGAGCTGAGAGTGTTGAGCCACTGCTTCGGAGAGAGACGTTGAGTGTTGAGAAATTTGCCGGTATAGTTCCGGTTCCGGTGGCGGCGATGATCGCCGGCTCCGCCTGGTTGAGCAACCACTCGATCGTCTCGCCGTCGGATTTGTGCTGTAACTCACGAGTTAACTGGAACACACGCGCCGCGCAGACTGCCGGCATACGTATTCTCCGGCCACGGCCGTCTACTTTGATGTGACGGTCTTTTGACGGTCGTTTCGCGGTGGTTTTTTTTACGGAGATGGTGTTTCCTCTGACAGTGTCGGTGGCAGCGTTTGTGGTGGTGGTTACTGACATTGAACCGGAGTTGGGTCCCATGAATGGGACCAGATGGGTCGAACCAGTGGTTTGTTGATGATGTTTGTCTGTGTTGCTGCTCTGGCTCTTGTTCTGGTGGGACTCCATTGCTTATAGAAATTATAAACTTTGCAAAAACCCAGAAAAAAAAAAAAAAGAGGAATAAACTGACAAACAAACTTGTATTGCTTTTATTACTTATAACCCACAAATAAAACCCATTTTGATATGTGAATTTTCTGGTGGGGCTATGAATTTGTGTTGACTGTTGTCTTCTGGTTTG